GGAGAGCAGCGAGATCCCATGGTAGTTGCCACAGTCCGACTGGTCTCCTTTGTTCTTTTAAATATTGACAATGGAAGCGTCTTTAAAGAGCTTGGGGGATTTCCTCCTTTTCTCATATATTCTCCAGGAGAGATTGGAGACGGCTGGTAAGCAGAGGTCTTCTTGCTTTATACACCTCGGCTGGGATTCCATCAGGCCCTGAGGCTTTGATATTTTCTTCTGTTTGATGGCAGTAACTACCTCATACAGGGATGGAGGATAGCTGAGGTGGATCAGGTCTGGATGCTGAGGGACCTGCTGGGTAGTGAGGACATCCACATCGGTGTTTCGGTTGAGCAACGAATGGTAGTGCTCTTTCCAGAGTTGAAGGAGGCCTTCATCGTCTTTTATTATGAATTTTCCGTCAGATGAGCGGAGTGAGGCTGCGCCACTAGTGGTTGGCCCATAAAAGATTTAGTGGAATTGAAAAATTCACGCATCTTGTGTTGATCTGCATATTTTTGTATTTCACATGCTTTATTTTTAAGCCAGTCATTCTTTAGAATGCGAAGTTCCCGCTGGGCTGCCGATTTCTTCTTGTGCAAGGTATCAGCTTTGGTCCGAGACTGAGGGTTGTCCTGCCATTCAGTAAAAGCAGCACATTTATCATCGATGAGTACTTTGATTGCCAGGTCATTTTCATCAAAAACCAGTCCTGGTGTATTCTTTTTATCTGGCTGAGGGGGTCTGCAAGATTTTGTCAAAACAGTGTTGATTTGCGTTGTTTGCTGTTGGGTTGTTTATAAGCTCATGTTCGAGCTGCTTTCTGAAAACATGTGCTACTGCTGGGCCCTCCAGACGCTTAGGATTAAAACCTCTTCTGGAGGCTTGCTGCCTTCGCCGTTTTGGGGCAACGTGAAGTGAGAGCTTGGTTCTGTCAAGTCGATGATCAGTGTCACAGTGGTCTGAGCCACTCATGGCATGGGCCACGAATCCTTGAACTTATAGGCCTGCCTAAACAAGGCATTGGTGATAGTGAGGCTGTGCGCAGCACACTTGCTGAGGAGGAGTAGGCCATTGGCATTACACTTGCCTAGTCCATTTCTCCCCATGGTTCCCTGCCAAATGTTAGCATCTCTGCCAACTCTGGCATTGAAGTTGCCAAGGAGCACAACCTTGTCTTCTCTGGGGATAGAGGTTAGCACTGTCAAGGTCGGCATAAAAGGCCTCCTTGATGTCATCCTCTGCATCCAGTGTTGGGGCGTATGCACTGATGAAAAAGACATGGCGCGAGTAATTCAGTGGGACTCGAAGCGTCATGAGGCGCTCCTTGATCCCAATAGGCATTTCAGTTAGCCTGTGTAGGGTGCATTGGCAGATGACAAAGCCAACTCCATAAATGCGATTTCTCTTCGCAGTAGGCTTACCCTTACAGAAGAAGGTATAGCCAGACCCCCGTTCTGTGAGCTGACCCTCATCTGGGAGCCGGGACTCACTGATGGCTGCTATGTCGATGTTATACCTAGCCAGCTCTTTTCCACAAGGGCAGTTCTTCTTTCAGGACGCTCATTTGTGCCAGTATCCTGAAAGGTCCTGACATTCCATGCAGTGACCATAAGAGATTGTAAGGTATGTTTTTGTTTAGATCTGTGATTTTGACTGTGTTTTCGACCGCATAAGGATGACCTTACTGGGTGCGGCTGTCCTCTCAGGTTGGTTTTTAGGCAGGCTAGCCCCCTCCCCATGTGGGGTGAGCAGAGTGGCTTCTCAAAAGGGCTGCTCAGTCACACAGACAGGACCAGATTGCACTGCTGCCTTGATCCCAGTGCATAAAAGATCATCTTGTCTGTGCCGCCCATATGCAGAGTTGTGACTAGAGACTCCCGGTAGTCATCTCTGCCTGTCCCCGTCGCCACTCATCCGTCGCCATAGGACTTTTGGTGGTATCGGGGTTTTGATGATGATGAGAGGTATGATGAACTGGATGATGGCTGCGTGTGAGTTGATTTATGTGGTGAGGCAGGAGCGCAGGCTGGAACCATACATCTTGGCTCTCCCTTTTCCTGATCCAGTGGTGCAAGCGTTGCAACGACTGGGGAGAGGAAGAGTTGCAATGGACTGCCGATCGCCCAGTTTGTTGGGTTTCGCCTTAGTAGCCTGTCCATCAGGCATTGCCTTCGTCCGCCGGTGTAGTCGTTGGGTTTTGACGGTGGTCACCTCTTCCGCCTACACCGCCGTTGGGGGCTTGTTGGAGCTCTGTAAGCATGTCTGCCTGATGCTGGGCTCCACTTCAGATTTTTCGTTCTGGGTTTACTCCCGTAGCCTTATACCTACCAAGGTTAATCCGCAAGGCAGTGGGGCAATGGCTGGTAGGCACCAGAACGTGTCCACATGCCAGTGGGCCTATGCCCTGTCCCTCTGGGGCCCACTGCTACTCCGAGATCCCCTGCTTGTCTAGCCTGGGCCCATGAGGCACCCAATTACCTTGTGTTGCCATGAGGAGGCATAGCAGGAGTCCTGATGGTGAAGAAGCTGTGTACTGGCAGGGGAAGACTTATGCAAGTTGCTTCCCTGTTCGCCACGATGGCTAGCCAGCGGCGGCAGCTGAAAGCGAGAGGGAGCAAGCAGTGCTTGCACCTTAACACTAACATTACAGTAGTGCTGCCACACTAGACGCATTACACCATCCTGTTTGCGACACACACACACACACACACACACAAAAGTTGAATTCATGTAAAATAAATGTGCGTAAGATGCAACACGACCGTATAAATGATATGGGATGCCTGAAAATGAGTGTGGAAAGATAATATCTTACACACCAGTGCGAATGCTTAGGGTCATGGGAGACATCTCACTTCTAATGGTCCACATAGTGACACACACACACACACCGTCTTTGGCCAGTGAAAGAGTTAATGGGTGCATTTCTGATATCGAAAACTTTGGTATTGTTTGATAATATATTCAGGTTGTTTTGGCAATGGACATACTCAGATACAGTACAATATTTATAAACTGAAAATATAACTATCTTCTTAGCATTTACCCTTAAATGGCACTTAAGGATTCCCTGATCTGACCCCTTATGTCCAAAAACTGGAATGCAAGGAATAACAGACATCCACTGATGTTGGCCATCATCCCTACAGCTAACATTAATTGATATCGAGTTCCATTTAAGGGTTAATACTTGCTGTAGTTTTATTATTTGTTTTAGACTACAGTTGTACCCCACTTAACGCGGTCAATAGAACCCAGAGGGTCCCGTGTTAAGTGAAATCCGCGTTAAGTGAACAACAGAACATATGGGATTAATTCCAATAGAAACCAGCCCGACCCCCAAACTCCACTTTTTGAAGACACATAACTATGTTGTAGTAAAAATAACATCTTAATTTTATGATGGTACATGCACACAATTAATACTTAAGAGAAATAGAGAAATACAGTCGCCAAGTTAATGTCCATTCAAATAATGGACTCAACTCCCTCCCCCTCTTCTCACACTACACTGCTGGCTCTTCCCTCTCTGAGAAATTTTTGGGGGAAAACCACTAAATTTTAATAAATAATACCTCAAACTAAAGTTAGGATAATACAATTGACATTGCTGGATTCCTTGTAAGACCAGGAATATTTTGAATATAAATGTCATATATTGTGCACAAAAGATAACATATTTACTAGAGAAAACATTTTATCTAAAATTTGTATGTCTAATGCAAAATATGTGATGTTTATATTCAAAATGATCACCAAATTATAAGAATTCCAGCAATGTAAATTATATTCTGGCCGGGTAATTTGTATGAATTTTATGAGCTAAAACAAATATCTTCAGTTAATAAAAAAAAAAATATTCTTCAGGACACTATCTGTCAATCAAAGTACCCCACCTTGCCTCCCCCCTCTTCCAACCGCGCGGTCAGTCCCAACCCTCCCCCCCACCCCCCACCAATCCTCCCTTCAAGAGAAGAGTGGGTGAAAAAAATAAATTTTAACATTTTGTATTAAATAATACCTCAGATTAAAGTTAGGATAATATAATTGACATTGCTGGATTCCTTGTAAGACCAGGAATATTTTGAATATAAATGTCATATATTTTGCACAAAAGATAACATATTTACTAGAGAAAACATTTTATCTAAAATTTGTATGTCTAATGCAAAATATATGATGTTTATATTCAAAATGATCATCAAATTATAAGAATTCCAGCAATGTAAATTATATTCTGACCGGGTAATTTGTATGAATTTTATGAGCTAAAACAAATATCTTCAGTTAATAAAAAAAAAAATATTCTTCACGGGGTAACAGATGGTCGGTCGGTCCCTCCCTCCCCCCCCACCCCCCACCAACCGTCCCAAGGAGATGTGTGGGAAAACCACTAAATTTTAATAAATAATACCTCAAACTAAAGTTAGGATAATATAATTGACATTGCTGGATTCCTTGTAAGACCAGGAATATTTTGAATATAAATGTCATATATTTTGCACAAAAGATAACATATTTACTAGAGAAAACATTTTATCTAAAATTTGTATGTCTAATGCAAAATATATGATGTTTATATTCAAAATGATCACCAAATTATAAGAATTCCAGCAATGTAAATTATATTCTGGCCGGGTAATTTGTATGAATTTTATGAGCTAAAACAGGCAGTCAGGCAGGGTGGCGGGTGGGGCAAATCTAAAAATAGCGTCTCGAGCCGGACACTCACCACGTATATGTGGAAAAAATCCGTGTTAAGTGAAAGTTCAGCTCTGGCGAGGCACCGCGTATATGATAAAACGCGTTAAGTGAAACCGCATTAGGCGGGGTAATACTGTATTTGTAGGTTTATAATTTATGGGTTTGTTTGTGTTCATTAGTGTGTAGAAATCTGTTGTTTTACATTCAATCAACTATTGTGATGATTTAAACATAAAAAAGGGGAACATTTTGGAAACTTTAGCTTGAACCAGTTATGACAATAACATTGCATGTTTTTTTTTGTATTTCAGGCATGTGAGAAAAATCCTGTTGATGAATTACAAGTTCAATATGATGAACACAACCCCTTCACTATGTGTGCCAAGTCATACTTACCAATATACCGAGGTAAACCAGAGGTGCAGTGTCCACTGTGTGGTGCATCATACTTACCAGAGCATCGGGGCATCACCTGCACAATCTGTACTGTTGCACAAGTTGACAAGGACTGCATTGGCTTACGAATTTCTTCCTTACAGTTTCGGTAGATGAATACTGTAGCAAAGATGGGTTGTACAGTAATTGTGAAATATCAAGCACTCATAAATTTTGTTCTTCTCAATACTGTATACCTGTTTCCACAGATCAACTTAGAAAATATGCTTACATTTTAAATGTGTTTACCGTTTGGATGCCGAGGACCAAGTGGCAGTTTGTTAAAACCAGGAAATCTTATTACTTTGAATTTAAGAATGGAGAGCTTCATTTTATTTTTCTTAGTGGAAGTATTTATGCATACCTATGCACCTATTTATAGATTAACTTGTTATTTACAGTTTTGTTTAGAAAACAGAATTAAATCTACCAAACATTTGTTTATCAGTTATAGGACACATTCAGGTAAATTGGATAGTAATGCTTACCATTTAGTTACAGTATTTCTTTTAGTAGTTTACCATAATCGGTAAGGAAACGGTTTAATTTCTATAATGTTTATTTTAAAAGATTTACTATATTAATCAAAGTGTAATAAAAATTAAAACATTAAAATTGTTTGATACTCTTTTTCTTGAGTTACAGAAGTTTTGTTGTTCCTGTGTAAGGGTATAGAAATTGAAAGAAACTTAAAATGTTGAATTGTATGAAACAAAAGTGTCCAAGATGCTTAGGAGTTCTCACTAAATACAGTAAGGTATGAATGTGTATCAATCCAGTGAGATTAAAGAATTTTTGAGGTGTGTAAAGGCACAGCAGATTATGAGAAGCCTCATTAATGCACATATAAGTTGAGTGCATCAGTAGTTGCTCTTTGTCTAACACTAATTTGTTGACACTGATCAAAACTAAATCACAATACTGTACCATATTTTAAATTACCAAATTAAAAGTTTTTACCCAATGTCTAGTGCAACTTAAGAAAACTTTATTAACAAAATTAAGAAAGCTTGGGGAACATAGATGAACACATCTTTTTGCTAACATTTAGGTGCTCCAAAGGTGGGAAACAGGTTGAAAAACATTTCATACTGCACTGTGTTGTTTTTCTGGTTATTGGATTCATTCTGTAGAATGGCCAGGAAATTTTGGTATAATGAAGATTTTTTCACAGTGGTATACTTGTCCTCCCTTCTTGGTAAAAATTAACCTTGTAGTATAAGAAGGCTACACTCTACGAACTCCTGCTATACATATTTTTTCATAAATGAAATTCATAAATTAACAAACACTTCTCACTAAGCACTATGTATTTTAACTAACATGCATTTTTTTGTCTGTCAAGCAAACATCAAAGAGAGCTCTCAAGCTATTTTGGACTACACCACTTAGCCACTCTACCAAAAAATTTTGTATGTCCACCCAGGGTGTCAGGTTAGAGACCTGTCCTGTGTGTCAAGTGCTTTCTGTTGTTGGTAATATTTATCTTGTTTTCTTCTATAAACAGAAGCCCCAAAGTTATGAATGTTATCAAAAGATAATGAGGTGCTGACACAGGCACTCGAGTGTTCTATGTTGGTTAGTCGGTACAAGCTCATTAGGAGTACAAACAAACCAGTCCATTCCTGCTGGAGTTCTGCCAGTCAAAACTCCAAGGATAATGATACTAGTCTATTTTATTTATTTTTTATAACCACACTCCTTTAAAATCCAGAAATTAAAATTTAATATAATACTGGCTGTTGTATCGTAAGCAGCTCATGGAGAATTTAATTCAAGCAATCAATGCTCATGAGTGATACAAGGTCATTTCATGTTGGCTATTATTTCTAATCGGACTCTCTAAAGCAGTGGTTGTTAAACTATGGGTCACGAGATCATTATCGTCAGTCCTCTTTTTGCTAATGACCAGTACACTCCCGGGAGGGGGGCCTGGGGGTTTGGACCCCCTTTTTCATCAGAAAATTCTAAGGCTTTTTCTTTAAGGCAGTACTATGTACTCAGGCATTTTTGTATTGTAAAAGTAATTACTATTGACCTCAGAATATCTCCCAATATCAAGTGCACTTGGCTTCAAAACTGCCTCAAAATGTCCACGATATTGGTCAGATCTCAACTTTTTCGGAGGCGGGGGGGGGGGCTTACAGTGCCCCCCAAAACTCCCCAGCTGGGTGGGCTCGCTGTCTCTCCCCCCCCCATTGATATTGTGGATCTGCCCCTGATGATGGATGGTGTGTAATATATATTGTTTAAGCACTGTTGTGTAATTGTGTATCATAGTTTTTTCACTTGCTTTTAATTGTCATATTTTAATGCTGTGCCAATTTTGTATTCATTCAGCTCCTTGTTTCTTCTTAATTTTTTCGTTCTGTTTGTGTGTTTTTGCATCAAGGGCTACTGAGTTACTCCTGGATTTTTGTATTTTACTGTACATAACTTTTTTTCAGGATGGGGAAACGTACCTATAAAGATACATTTTAAAATCTTGAATTCACTCACCTAACATGGTTTGGCTGGAAGGTTCTCTGAGCAGAAATGGTTACTCCAAGTGACCTACTTTGCAGACTTATTCAGTGAAATTGACTGCCTGAATGCTTCCATGTAAGGTTGGGGGGTTGCACTTTCATCAAATTTGTTGACAAACTGAAATTGTAGAAAGGTAAAATAGAAGCAAGGAAAAACTGGGTCTTTCCTATTACAGTACTAAGTTGCGTGTTGGAAAACTTCAAGGAAATTGCATCATCATTTGAAGATACATTTATTCGTGGCAGTGTCTTGGAGCACTTGAACAATCTCAGAGAAGAATCCAACATATTCCTGCTGAAGGTACCAAGAAATACTGCTGGGTTTGAAATACTGTGCTTTCAATGTTATTGTGGAAGATTTGCCAGACAACAGATCACTCAGTCCACTGGAACAATTTATAGAACTACAACATGAAGAATTACTGTACCATAGCTTCAAGCAGCAGTCCCTCAGTACTTTCTGGGTCACACTCTTCAACGAAAAATCAATCGTTCCTGTGTCAAAGCTCTGATAGTCCTCCTGTTATTCACAACCATGTACTAAACCTTTGTGAAGCAGAATTTTCAACATTAGCACTGACAAAGACAAAACTTTGAAACCAGCTGCAGCCTGAGCTTGATCTTTGCTGTAACCTGTCTGCATGGACAAACAGAAACTTCCAAATATATATATATGGGAAAATGTAATTTTTACTTTTTTATTTTTATCTTCTTCGCCACTGATCGGCTCGTTAGCTGTTTGGGCGGTCGGTCATGTCTCAGTTATACACTGTTGGTAAGTACTGGGCATGCACTGGCTCCTGAATGCATCTGAACCTGCTCTAATGCTGGTCAAGTTTGGTCTTGAAACAGCTTACACTCGGTGACGTTACAACACACTCGCAGGTTGTTCCAAGAGTTCACAACTCTCACTCCCAAAAAGTTCGTCCTTACAGTTTTCTGGACTGTTGATATCATCTAATTTTTACTCTTCGCTCCCATTCCGCTGGTTCATACCCGGGGAACTCCCAGTCCATTCGGCTATCAGTGGGTGTCTAACTCAATAGCTAAGGAAGTGAAAGCTTCTCGGTGCAGTGTCGACCACGCTGCTTCTTATTACTTGCAGCTTCTTTAACCTAGAGCTGTGACCCCTTATGGGGCAGCTGTCCGCCAGCTCCAGGCATGGACACTCGACTGAGTAGTGCCTTTTGAGAAGTTTACACACCTCAATTAGGTCCCCCCTTGCCTATCTGTAGTATAAGCTAGACAATTGCAGGCGCTCTAATCTCTCTGGGTAGCTGAGGTGCCGAAGTACTGGCACTAGTCTAGTGGCCCTCCTTTGGACATTTTCAATCAACTGACAGTCCCAAGCATATCTTGGGGGACCGGACCGGGTGACAGTACTCCAGGCGGGGAAGCACCTCGCTCTTGAAGATTGTTACGTGGGACTGACCATCCAGATATCTGAATGACCTTCTTATAAGACCTAATAATTTAGTTGCTTGATTCACCTTCTTCTCACAACGGCCCGAGAACTTCAGTTCATTGACAACAAACTCACCCAGGTCCTTTTTGCATTTAGTCTCTATTAATGCAGTTTCTTCATCTCATTGGGGCATATGATACACCTCCTTACCTTTCGTATGTCCCAGGTGCATCCTCTTACACTTCATGACATTGAATCTTAGCAGCAATTTCTTCGACCATTCTTGAAGCTCACAGAGATCTTTCTGCAGCTCTTCACAGTCTGTTTGGGTTTTAATTTCCCTAAATAGCTTGGCATCGTGTGCAAACATTTGTATGGAGGAGTGTGCAGCTTCTGGCATGTCATTTATGAAACAAACAAAAAACAACGGGCCCAATGCATTGCCCTGTTGTACCCCGCTTGTCACGGGTACACGTGACGGTTTCATACCATTTATCACCACATACTGCTTGTGATCATACAAAAAGTCTCTGATCCATGCTAGGACACGTCCCCGAATCCTGCACCCTTTCAGTTTAATTTTCAGCCTTTCAAGGGGTACACTGTCGAAAGCCTTGGCAAAATCTGTGTATATACTGTATATTGTTGATATTACAATGTTCAAGAATTTGGGTTCAAACATCCAAGACCTTGAGTAATTGTGTTAAACAGGAGCGTCCTTACATAAAACCGTGTTGGCAATCCTTTTCAAGTGTTATGCCGAGACGTAATTTGGTAATATAATGTTTGTAAGCTAAGTATTCTGATTATTTTTTATTCCAAGCAACAGTTATTTTGGCAAGTTTGAAGAGATTTTCGTGTACTGTATTACCGATGTAAGAATTTAATAGAATGTAAAGTATCTTTTTTGTTGATTTACTTCCTATTGTAAGCCTTGATCAGAGTAGAACGACGAACGTACTAGAACTTCCCAGACCTGTCTGGGTTGTGCTTTTGTGTTCTAGGATCATCTGATGAGGTATACAGTGGTCCCTCGGTTAACGAACACAATTCGTTTCAGAAGGTCGTTCGTTAACCGAAAATTTTGTTTCAATGGGATTTTCGGTAATTGGTTCCAGCTCACCGAAAATTACATACAAAGTAAAAATAAATGCAGTAAAGTACACTTACTTTCAGCTGTGTATGTAGAAGGCTCCTGGTTGATGATGATGATGATGATGATGGGAATTAGAAGTGGGGGTGGAGGAGAAGGGAGAAAAGAAGGAAGTGAGGGTGGAAGAGAAATCACCCCATGCTTCATGCCGTCATTTCACCCATAAAATTTTAAGTTCACTAGGTGTAATTCAAGACAATTTTCTTTAAATCAACACTGCACTGCACTATATATTGTCAATATGTTAAATAAATTTCAGAATGACCAATAATTACACTGGTCAACATAAAAAAAAATTTTCATGGTTCGGGATCAAAACAGTCTAATTCTAGTGTAATTGTATGTGGTGAACTCAATTATGACATTCGTATAGCTGTATCAGGCTCAGTTTTCCAGAACCAGCATATCTATATAATTAGTGCACCATGCTATTCATACAGTAATTTATATGCTCATTGGCTCCACTTATGCAATTATTTTGTCCTGATTTGTGCTTTTTTGTTTGTTTCAGTTTGCTGATTCATGATATTGCATATCTACACC